TTCTCAGTAAGGGCACGTGCCCAGGTTGAGGGCTCGATCCCCAGAGTAGGGTGTGTAAGAGATAGCCGATTAATGAGTCTCTCTCATCATTAATGTTTCTATCTCTTTCTCTTCCTCTCCCTTCCTCTCTAAAATCAATAAAAATACATTAAAAAAGAAAAATGTCAGTCAGAGACTTAAGAACAATATTATTTAATTCATAAGTGAGATATAAAACTGAAACTCATAGACACAGATAACACTATGGTGGTTAACAGACAAAAGAAGGTGGAGGGTAGTAAAGGGTAAAAAAAAAAAAGCCAAATGTATGGTAATGGAAGATGACTTGACGAAGGGTTGTGGACACACATGCAAAGATCATGTATCATAGAAATACACATTTGAAAGCTATATGATTCTATTAACCAATGTTACCTCAATAAATTTAATAGAATAAATAGATAAATTTCAAAAGAAAGAAAAGAATTAAATTATTTCATTCTAGTTGCCAAAATAATAGGGGCATTAAAACCACAGGGTCTTGGCTACCTGAGGACACTGAAGCACAGAGATTAACTTGCCTGAGGTCTAACTCTAAGAAGAGGAATATGCCCAGAGGAACACAAAGCAGGTGAAAGTACGATTTTTAATTGGGGAAGTCAATGGCTGAGGTGCAGGTGTACCCCGTGAATCACACAAGGACGCCTCAAGAAGTCGAATTAAGGAGTCACATTTATTGCAAATCCGGGACTATGAGGGGGGCATTTTGCTTTCCAAATCTTGCAGTCATTACCTAGCCCCAATACCAGATTTATATAGGCAAAAAATCACAAACGTATTGATTACATCTCAGGGTTTGGAATGAGAAATCTGGTTTGCAAAAAAGCAGTTTACAGAGCAGTATTGAGCATGTTAGTTAAATTATAGTTTTGGGGCTCCGGATCACTGAATCAATGGAAACACATTGCCTGGAGCCATCGGGTCTTGGGACCTCTGAGTTGACAAGAACACATTATCTGGAGCCATCGGGTCTTGGAACCACTGAGTTGACAGGAACACATTATCTGGAGCCACTGAGGTATTTAGGATAATTGTTCCCAGGTACAGAAGAATGTGCTTTCTAAAAACAGTGAGATCACAATCAATGGGATATTCAAACGACCAACAGCGAAGGATTCAATCGATTGGGATAGCATACATAAGTTCAGAAAATCAGAGTAACTTTTTTATTGTTTTAGCAAGCAAATAATGACAGAAGCCAAGTCAGCAGGGTTAAAATATTAAACATTTATCCAAACATGGTTGCTACCATGCTTCAAAGGCAGAGGGAGATTCTGACTTGAGTCCAGCATAGATCCTGCCTCCCCAATGAAAATGAAGGATAAGCACCAGGAACAGACTTGATGGGCAGATGACCTCATGGAGGCCTGTGAGTCGTGCCTGCAGATGGGTCCTGGCTGCTGCTAGGAGTTAGAGGCCCTGAGAGCTCAGCCAGTGCATCTGGGCAGCACTAGGTGTTCCGAGGCAGGAGAGAGCAACATTTGTGAAGTGGAAGTGTTGAAGGAGTTTGGAGACTAAGAGAGCAAACCCAAATAAGGTTGAACCTAAACTAATTTATCTGGCTGCTTTTTTTCTCTCCCCCAATAATCCAAAGTTCACATGAGGTTTTTTTGGTTTTATTTTTTCTCTCAGTACCTTGAATTCACACCAGGTGGCAACCTTCCCTGTGCCTCCTCTATTAAGCTGCTTCCAAAAAACATTTCCACCAGACTTTCAATTCCTTGCTTTAGTTCTTTTCTCAAATCCAGTCACTAGTGCCTCTGTTCCTACTCCATCATTTCAATCTCATTGGCAAAGGTCAACAAAGGCCCTAATTTGCCAGCCTTATGGTTAATCTTCCTCCTTAAGTCACCAAAACATTTTTAAAAACTCTCTTATTTCAGATTGTTATTCTCAGCTTAGCTTCGTGGTATATCCACTGAATCCTTTATGCTTTTGGAAATATCCCATAACATATACCAGTGTATGGTATGTGAGCCTCGCACCCTGTGGGACTCTGAGGAAGGCCATCTGGAAGTGGACCGTGGGACCTTGGGAGCCTGGTGAGTGTGTGAGCCCAGACTGCAAACTGCAGGGAAACAGCTGGCAATTTGATCTCACACAGTTTGCACACAGGTACACCCCACCCCCTGCCCACACTTGCTTGCTTTGTTTTCTGGACTCTCTATAGTTGGAGTCTGCAGTCACTGAAGCAAGGAAGCCTCATGTTCGCTTCCAGCTGCCTGGCTGCCGGCCGCCATCTTGGCTGACAGTTAATTTGCATAAGGATATGCTGATTAGCCAATGGGAAGGGTAGCGGTCGTACACCAATTACCATGTTTCTCTTTTATTATTGTAGATAGTCCCGCCTTCAAACGGTCTGAGGGACAGTGAACTGGTCCCCTGTTTAAAAAGTTTGAGGACCCCTGGCCTAGAGGAACATAAAGCAGGTGAAAGTACGATTTTTAATTGGGGAAGTCAATGGCTGAGGTGCAGGCGGAGGGAGTTTCTGACTTGATTCCAGCATAGATCATGCCTCCCCACCAAAATGAAGGATAAGCACCAGGAACAGACTTGATGGGCAGATGACCTCATGGAGGCCTGTGAGTTGTGCCTGTAGATGGGTCCTGGCTGCTGCTAGGAGTTAGAGGCCTTGAGAGCTCAGCCAGTGCATCTGGGCAGCACTAGGTGTTCTGAGGCAGGAGAGAGCGACATGTGCGAAGCTGGAAGTGTTGAAGGAGTTTGGAGACGAAGAGAGCAAACCAAAGTAAGGTTCTGCCTAAGCTAATTTATCTGGCTGCTTTTTTCCTCCGCCAATAATCCAAAATTCACATGAGCTGTTTTTTATTTTATTTTTTCTCTCAGTACCTTGAATTCACACCAGGTGACAACCTTCCCTGTGCCTCCTCTATCAAGCTGCTTCCAAAAAACATTTCCAGCAGACTTTCAATTCCTTGCTTTAATTCTTTTCTCAATTCTAGTCACTAGTGCCTCTCTGCCTACTCCATTATTTCAATCTCATTGGCAAAGGTCAACAAAGGCCCTAAGTTGCCAGCCTTATGGTTAATCTTCCTCCCGAAGTCATCAAAACTTTTTAAAAAACTCTCCAACTTCAGGTTCTTATTTTAAGCTTAGCTTCACGGCATATCCACCGAGTCTTTTATGCTTTTGAAAATATCCCATAACATATGCCAGTGTACGGTATGTGAGCCTCGCACCCTGTGGGACTCTGAGGAAGGCCATCTGGAAGTGGACCGTGGGACCTTGGGAGCCTGGTGAGTGTGTGAGCCCAGACTGCAAACTGCAGGGAAACAGCTGGCATTTTGATCTCACACAGTTTGCACACAGGTACACCCCACCCCCTGCCCACACTTGCTTGCTTTGTTTTCTGGACTCTCTATAACCATGAGCTGTGAAAGCCTGTGATGCGGAAAACTTCACCAGCAGGCCCCACCGGTGTCCACATAAGTCTAATGAACCCAGGTCCTTCACAGCCAGTCCTCTGGTTTATTTCTTTAAAACAAGCAGGCAAGCCCTAGCCGGTTTGGCTCAGTGGATAGAGCTTGGTCCTGTGGAACAAAGGGTCCCAGGTTCCATTCCTGGTCAGGGCACATGGCCAGGTTGTCGGCTCCATCCCCAGTAGGGAACAGGCAGGAGGCTGCCAATCGATGGTTCTCTCTCATCATTGATGTTTCTATCTCTCTCCCTTGCTCTCTAAAAATCATAAAAAAAAATAAAACCAGCAAGCAACACACTGATGTTTTTGTCAGACATCAGCTCTTTGCAGAACATGTCGCATAGTCCAGTTGGTGGAGGCTGGATGGGAGGTGGTGTGAATGTATTGGGGAAATCCCAGGTAGCAGCCCTGATTGACAGTTGGGGACCACCTGGAAAACGCCAATAGGAGTATTTTTGGACCTAGAATCAGTGGTGCCAAAGCTGCCACTGGCAAATGAAAGGAAAATAAAGAAAATGTGTCTCTTGCCTGGCCAGAGTGGCTCAGTTGGTTGAGGATCATTCCACAAACCGAAAGATCACCAGTTCAGTTCCTGATCAGGGCACATGCCTGGGTTGTAGGCTCCATCCCCAGTAGGGGGGGTGCAGGAGTTAGCCAATTGATGTTTCTTTCTCTCTCCCTTTCCCTTCTTCTCTCTCTCAAATCAATAAAAACATATTTTAAAAGGAAAATTAAATGGGTCTTTTAAGCACCCTAAATTCTTCTGGAGGCCCTGAGGATGCTGTGGTCCCGGGGACAGTGCAGGAATTGGTGCTTCCCCCAAACTCTGTGTGGGCAGCAGGAGCAGTAGGGATGACTGCCCCACCCCACTGTGAGAGGCAAAAACTGACACTTTTAAAACTGAAGTGGTGGAAGTTGTCCAAGCCTAATACCCTACCTCATCTCCAGCCTTTTTTAAAGTTGGCAAGGACACGAGGCAATTAAGCAACACACTAAAGGAATGCAATAATTGCCAAGAATTCAAATGGTGGTTTAAGTTTAGTGTAGGTCTTTCAAAGTTATTAACATAAAATACATGTTTGTTTTGCCTGGGTTTACAAAACAAAGTTCATGTCATTTATCTCTGTTACAAAAGTTGTCAAGAAAATGGCTTGGGTAATAATTAACTTTAAAATCTTACAGTTGGGCCCTAACCGGTTTGGCTCAGTGGATAGAGCGTTGGCCTGTGGACTGAAAGGTCCCAGATTCAATTCCGGTCAAAGGCATGTACCTTGGTTGCGGGCACATCCCCAGTAGGGGGTGTGCAGGAGGCAGCTGGTCGATGTTTCTCTCACATCGATGTTTCTAACTCTCTATCCCTCTCCCTTCCTCTCTGTAAAAAATCAATAAAATATATTTATAAAAAAATTAAATAAATTAAAAAATAAAATAAAATCTACATTTGGTAAGAAAAAATAAATTTGAAGCTGTGAATGAATATATTTTATACGTCATTTGAAGTATGTCTCTTGAAAATGTGGGTCTATTTGCCAATGAAAACAACCTGTTTCTAGAAGTTATGAAATGTATTCATGAATCTGTCCATCTAAAAAATGCTAACTACTTGCTTTTAGATGTCACTACCAGTTAAGTTTTCTAAGAATTAAGAATTCTAATTCAATTGGAAAAAAGTATATGGTTTTGGTAATGGAATGTGTAAGTTGTCTGTCTCCTTAGTAGCCTGGGAGAAACCCAGAGTCAAAGCTGGTGTGTCTGCTGTCCTGAGCACAGGGTCCAATACACCAGAGGTGGTAGCAGATGTTGGCTACATGGGATGAGATGCAATTCTTTCCCTCACTCTCTTCACTACCAGGTGAGGACCATGTTTTGGTTTGTATCACTTCCCACCCTTCTGTTTGTGGTGACAGTGTCCTTCTCAGAATCCACAACCTGTGAAGATGCCCAGAAGGCCTGCTCAGTGACTGCCTGTGGCATCCCGGTCACCAATGGCACCCCAGGCAGAGATGGGCAAGATGGAGCCAAGGGGAAAAAGGAAAACCAGGTACCCAGGCTGGTCTGACTTCTTGAATCTTTAATCCCCAGAGGGATCTGAGACAGAGCCATGAGCAGGCTCCCCTTACATTATGATGGACTTGAATCATTCATAATAATTCCTGTACATTGTCATTGTCTCCTAAATAAAGATGCTGCTGTGACCTGGCTCCCACCTTTCCATGCAAGAATCGGTTGTGTGTGTTTTTCCGTAAGAGGTGATATTCTGCAGCCCGGGCAGCTGGCGCTGGAGGCAGGTGGTTTCTAGAGTCAATGAGAATCTAGTGCTGAGGTTTTGGAGGAAGAGAATGAGAGACAGACATTGGGCCACATGTCCTTCATCTTCCAACAGAGCAGGGCTCCGAGCCTTGCAGGGTCCTCCAGGGAAACTGGGGCCTCCAGGAAGTAGAGGGGCTCCTGGGCCACAAGGAGTTAAGGCCCAAAAAGGAGATCGTGGAGACAGTTCAGGTAAGGAGCTCATCTCAGCATGGTGTGGACTGAGGGGACCGGCCCCGGGAACTGGAGGGCCAGGTGGGAGGGGCCCTTCTCCACTGCCCCACTGGCAGACCTCCCCTCTGCTTCCTGACCCAGCACTCTCACTCCTCCCAGTCCTTCTTGGGGCCTGAAGGGATTCCCACAGGCGCCTGAGAACAGACTTGCAACCCTGCTGGCCACCCCTCAGTGGCCACTGCAGATGGCCCCGCTCCCTCATCTGGAGCACCAATGCCAAGCTCCAGGATGTGTGGGAGGAAACTGCTCCCCTTGGGTGTTGGGTTTAAGTTTTTTTTTTCACAAGAGTGGCATGAAGATGATGTGCTTCATAAGATCTCTGGTGCAATAGAGTAATGCATAGAGTAACTAAATAAATTCATCCAAAGTGAAATAAAGTAATTAGTAACAAAAAACAAAAGTGATGACCTCACATAAATATTTGTCCACTGGCCCATCACCATTATAAGAATACTAGTGATCCCACCATGCCACAGGACACCCTAAGTCCCACCAAGCCGGGAGACCCAGAGTCAAATCCCCACCCACCTGCACATGCCTCCCCAGGCACACAGCACCACCCACCCACCCAAGCCTTGCTTGCACACAGCCTCCTGGTGACCAGTCTTTGGTCATTATGGGTGACGGCATCCCAGCCAAGGGGTTTTTATAGTAGAGATTAAAGACCTTGCCTTGAATTAGAAATGAAAGCATGATTAAGAAAATTTTTCAAGAACAGAAACTAAGATGGCGGCATAGGTAAACACCTGAAATTGCTGCCTCGCACAACCACTTCAAAAATACAACTAAAAGACAAAACGAACATCATCCAGAACAACAGGAAGGCAGGCTGAGTGGAAATTCTACAACTAGAAGGAACAAGAAAAGCACACTGAGACTCAGAGGAGCTGTGGAAGTAAAGTGCAGAGGTACAAAGGCGCATGCAGAAAGGGCGGGAAACTGAGGACATGGTTGTCTTTTTCAATCGGGATGGAGACACAACCTCCCGACTGCTCTGAACTCCAGTTCTGGGCAAGTCTCTGGGGACCCAGACTCATACAGGGAGAAACTGGACTGTCTGGCATCGGGCAGAACTCGAGGGCAGCTTTCTCTCAGAGGTGCTTGCAGCTGTTACCGCAGGAAACTGAGACCCGGGGCCTCTTAGGGCAGGACTAAGGATCAGCCATAGCTGTTTGCTCCACCCTGTTGATTCCCTGAGACGCTGCCCCACCCAAGCTGTGCGCAGAGGCTTTTGCATAAGAATGCCCTGGCCCTTTGCAATCTAAAATTACCTAACAAACTGCAGCTGGGTCAGAGAGACCCAGAACATTCAAAAG